ACACCATCTTCTTTGCATGGCCCATGCTCGATGCTTTTGTTAGCACAGGTAAGTCTGCAGGATCCACTCCACTCATTAGCACGTGTGAAAATCTACATTCCCAAGCACCAGCAAGTTAGGAACTTGAACCTGCAAAACTCTGCAGACCCCCAGAAGCACTGGAGACAGCTCAACACCCCCATCAAGTATCAAGAAGTACTGGCTTCCTTAACTGATGTAAACTAATCTATACTCCTGTAGAACAGTGCACACTAACCTCCAATGTTTTACTATTCTTCCCTCAACACAACATCAGGCAGTAAAGAACAGTTTACCCACAGCAGATATTTGCCTAAGGAAGGCAAATCACAATCTCTGAAGCACCAGCAGAATGTTTCCTAGAGAGGGAGATGGTGGTTAACAGGATTCACTGTGCAAGGAGGGAGTTAGTATAGGAACCCTCAGCATTTTTCACTAGGAAGGGCTCTGGATCTGAATGCAGCTCATCTGGATCAAGACAAAGCTTTTTTGCAGTCCAGAGCTTATTCAAACTTGCTTTTGGGAACCTTCACCAGGTTATCTGAGTAACTCTAAGAAAGGAGCAACCTATGAAGAACAAAGTGAGTGCTCCTCTACTATGAATAGAGACCCTCCTTTTCACACCCAGTCAAGAACATTTCCTAACTGCAAGCACTACAAATGCAGACCAACACACACTGTCATTCTGAAGGCTCAATGCTCCACTAACAGGCAGAGAGAACTGACTAACCAGCACCCTCCCTACTGTCCCAAGGGCCACCCCAAAATAATTTGCATAAAGCAATGCCACACTCCATGCAGCATCTTGTGTGTGCTCAGTGCAGGAAGCATCAACCAGGCAGGAGGTACGTACGGCAGGTGTAAACATCTCTGTACTCCATGTGCTCGTAGTCGGGAAGGATTTTCATAAAACGCCCCGACTTCACTCGTGGGTTTATACCTGAACAGACACAGCAGGGTAAGTACCAGCAAACTCTGCTCCACTGTAACCAGCACGTAACAGAACCATCGGCCTGGACCAACCACATAGGACAGTCAGACTCTTGACTTTGGTGCAGTGTTTGTTCCCATCAGTCTCAGGTGAACTCGGGTACCAGGATTACTCACAGCTTGGCTTACGTTCAAGATTTCCACTGACAATATTTACAAATGGCATCAAGTGAATGCAAATAGAATCAAAGCCCTGAAGTTCTGTGGTGACACTGTAACAAGCACCACTGGCTCAGTAAGACTAGTTAGAACTACACAGATGGTAGCCCAGGCTTTGGATCAGTTATGCTTTCTAGCACCTAAGCTCAGTTCTCCATTTCCCACACTACTACTTGCAAAAGCACATTCAGTGCATGCAAGTCCTGCCAGTAGCCTCAAGTTAACTCTTCTGCAATTAAAGAAGTTTATGGGGCAGTAGAGAATATGGAGCTGCAGCACCTGCAGCACCTTGATGTTTACACAACATCAAGTGTGACTCTCTGCCAGTGGATGCTATGGAATCAGAAGGTACTTTGGTACAAAGGAAGACTGGAAACATACATGTAAGACAGATCTACTGAGGGCTATTAAATCAACAAATGGCATCAGACCCCAGAAATCCCCCAAACTCTAAACAGTGAGAAGCTGGGAGAGTTATTAGGAAACTACTGCAGAGACTTTCCAACTTCTCACTCTTCTCTGGGTGACTGCTCACAGCCATGGCTGGGAGATCTAGACCACTGCTCTGAGCCAGGAAGCATTTTTACATATAATCTGTGTATAAAATCACTAATTATTACTTGAACATATCCGAACCATGGAACTACTGGAGTGAAAAAGACTACAGGTCATGTAAGATACGTTCTGGCTACACAGAATTAATCTGGAATACACTGTATGGCTGTTACCACACCAGTGTCATATAGACACTGGATTGAAAGGGGAGTGAGGGAAGCTTCCAGTGCTGATGAGACTTCCGTGTGGAAACCCAAGTGCTGGCTCAGCATCACTCAGCCTTCCCACCCAGGAAAATGAGGCAGTCCCACTCCTAGTGCACAAATAAGTAAAGAGGGACAATAGGTGATGAAATAATTTGCCCACAGATGCTCAGCAAGTCTACTACAGATGGGATTAAAACCTTTCTACCTGTTCTTTTTCCTAGCAGATCAATGCTTGAGTTCACCACTCCTTCAAAGTTCAGAAATACGGTACATGTAGAAGCTGAGCCCATCTGGGGTCTGCAAGGCCTACAGAGAGCTCTCATGACTTCTACTTGAGACAATTACAGCTTTTGTTTCATAAAGCAGGACCTTCTTTGAACAGCTAGAGGCCACAGATCAAATGCTGCAGGTTAAATCTTGCTCTTTATCTTATGGACCACAGGTAACTCCCTCAGAGGATTTGTGGGGAATGCAGACAACACAGCCTGGCAGTGCTGGTACAGGAGCTCTTGGGGGCTTTGCAAAGCTCTGAGCAACCCGCTCAGCTTCTGACTGCCAAGGGCAAGATCTGGTGACAGGGGAGGCAGCTACACCATGCACCCAGACCTCCAAATTAGTCCTTAGCCTACCTTGGTTTCTCTCCTTTGCTGATGTCCCCTCCCCACTCTAAAGATGAGCATCTATGTTGCAGAAGGCATGCTGGATCTAAAGAGTTGGGTCCCACTCCCACACATGTTCCTAAAACACACCAAAACCTCAGCAGAGGCCCAGCCCTGCCAGGCTCCCCTCCTTCAGGAGCAGCCCTGAGGAACACTCATCCCTTTACCCACCACACTCTTCCACTGTCAGCAAAAGCTCCTTGCATTGACAGCAAGACTTTGCTGCATCAGGGCTATGAAAAAGTAGCAGTTAATTCCTTAGCAGGATCTGGAAATGGCAAAACAGGAAAGGATGAAAAACACTCAATATACTTCATGATAAGGTTAAATTACATGCTTTTTTCCCACTGAAGGATTGGGAGGCACAGACATCCCAACTCTTGGCCTCTGCTTAGTATTAAATAGAACTCCAAACTTGTCGACCTGACAGATGAAACCTCTGCCATTAGCAACCAGATCTGAGTAACTTATATTGTCAAAGTTCAATAAATATTCAACATGCATAGGCTTTCAAAATGGGCCCTAAGCAAGGACATAGAGATCTGTATCAGCTTCATCACTTACGTTTGGCATAAACATCTCGACAGGACACCCCTGTGATCTCCAACTTCCGCAGGTTTTCACAGACACCATATTCTGCAACAACACAGACAACAAGGTCAGCTCTGGCACAAAGGGTGTTTGCTGCCCACAATCTTGAAATCTACTGTTTGAGCAAAAATAAGACCTTATTAGGTGCACTCATGCAAGCTTCCACATTAGTCTGAGACTCTCACTGCTGTTTTGGAAACAGAAAACTAGACGAGATTTTGTTGCAGTTTGGGAATGAAAACCAAAGCAATGCCTGTAACAAAAATACCATAAGGAACACACAAACCCAGCAAAGTTACAGATGCTTCTACCTAGACCAGAAAGAGTTTGAAGAGGCACTTATTCCAGCTGGGACCGTATGCCCGCTTCGATCACATCATGATTGTGTGTAGTAATTATCTACTCCCACTGAGGTATCCAACTGGGAAAACTGCTTATTAGGATCTTAAAGAAAAGGTCACAGACTTTAAAAAGAATGAAATGGAGACATAAAACAGGCATCAGCATGTACAAATATGGTTACACTTGAAAGCAGATGAGATTGAGAAGGGTCTGTTGTACGCTCAAACGCCTTTGATTGCTTACAGAACACCCGGAAAACAAAGCAATCCAGAGATCCTGAAGGCAGCTTTGAAGCAGAAAATGAGAATCTGACATTTCATTTTCAGGAAGTCAATGCTGAATTTCTAAGAAACTTTAAAAAAAATAAAAGTACTAACATCTCAGCACAAGAAAAGCTCAAAAGATCAGAGGGAGGAAATGAGGAGGGAGATCCTAAAAAGTCATCAAGAATAAAAAACACCCTGCTGCAGAGACCCCAGCAGATCACAGTATGGAAAACTACCCTCCTTGACATCAAAGACATCTACAGCACAGATCAAACACCAGGTTCCCTTAGCAATACCAAACACCTGCCAGGTATCTGACACAAAAGCATTACCATTAAATATGAAGCTTATTCTTGAATTAACAATCTACCATGGCTGCCAAATACCACTACCTAATACTGGTAACCTGCTGCAAGCTGAGAATTCATTTTTCATAAAGGAGTAGTGCAGAAGTTTCCCTAAATGAGTTCAACCTCCTCCTCTCTGTAAATACACCTCTGGGACAGGACCACAGTGATAAAGCTTCCTGTCAGCCCAGCTACAGGGAATACACATTCTGCATAACGTGGCTTTGGGTGAGCATTAAGTTCAATAGAGGGAAGAGTGAGCGGAAGGTACAACACACATTGCCCTTCATGAAAAGATGCAAAGGTCAGTGCACAGATCCTGCTGATTCCGTAGCAAAAGCCAGAGGAAGCTCTAAGTGTTATCAAACACAAGGTGGGATGAGGAGCCACAATTAGCTGAAGAGCTGACAGGGGAGCAGAAAGCAGATCCAGCCCTGCACAAACAAGCTCCTCAGTGCTGGGTGACAGCCAGCTGACCCCACACAGCAGCTCTGCAGGTCTGTGAAACCAGAGCTCTGCTCCATCCTGGGCTGTATCAAAAGAAGTGTTGCCAGCAGATCGAGAGAGGTGATTCTGCCCCTCTACTCTGCCCTGGTGAGACCTCACCTAGAACACTGTGTCCAGCTCTGATGACCCCAGTACAAGAAAGATGTGGACCTGTTGAAACACGTCCAGAGAAGGGCCACGAAAATGATCCAAAGGCTGGAGCAGCTCTCTGGTGAGGACAGGCTGAGGGAGTTGGGGCTGTTCAGCCTGAAAAAGAGAACGCTCCGGGGAGACCTCGTAGTGGCCTTCCAGCACCTGAAGGAAAGCTGGAGAAGGTCTTCTTATAGGGGCTTGCAGTGAGAGGACAAGGGGTCCTCCATCCCTGGAGGTGTTCAAGGCCAGGTTGGAATGGGCTCTGAGCAGCCTGTTCTAGTGGAAGGTGTCCCTGCCCATGCAGGGGAGTTGGAATCCAATGATCTTTAAGGTCCCTTCCAACTAAAAATAAAATATCTGTGATTCTGTGCTCCAGGCTGGAAATTCAGACCCACCCTGCAGCTCACCCAATGTCTATCCCTCCTGCCAGATTCAACACAGCTTTTAACCACGAGTCTGCACATATACACAAGTGGGGAGGTGTTTGGTAATTACACCAAAGGGATGGAGGGAACACTATGTTTCCAGCTCATCAGAAAGATAAGGGATCTTCACAAGATGACAAACAGTGTGGTCTTAGCCTGCTGTTTGGAAACAGCCTCTCTTTCCATAAAAGCAAACACCTGGCCACAGAACCAGTAAGGTGCATACTGTGCAGCAGGAACTGCAGCCAAGATTAAATTCAGTGTCATTGATGATACTCAGACTGCATCAGGAAGGGAGGAGATATGCAGAGGATCCTGTCCAAATGGCACTGCTCCGTGTTGCTCTCCAACAGCAGCACAGTGACATTCTCTCTTCCTCCAGAAGGTGCTGGCTTTTCACAAAGCACGTTCCCTAGTAGGTCCATAAATCACTTCCAGTGCCACAACAGAACCACTACCAGCAGTTATCTTGAAACAAGAGTGTGGGGTGGGAAGGAATTTGATGTTAAAGCCCTATCCCAGTTTCATGCAAGTACTCTTGCTAACCTGTACTGAAATTTTATGAAAGCCAAGCCACTATTAAAAGTCCATTTCCTAAGCTTTGTACTTCAAATCTTTCCTGGAATGGTTCCGTTTTCCCAATAGCAAGTTCCTTTAAAAAGAAGAGACACGAAATTAGAATCTCAGTATTGCTACAGGCTATTTGACATCAGGCATCCAAGACTCTTTTAAGAAAGAATTATCAAGGAAAAAAAAAATATCTAATTTTAGTGTCCTTTAACACCCATCTAATTTTATGACTAGTCCTTACCCTGTTTTGTTCAGCAAACAACTACAGACTCAAAATCCCAGAGTGATGGCTTAACTCCAGGTAAGTGCATCACTTATCTCTTCTGACCCATGAGCTGTTGACACCAAGAGGGTTGCTTGATGGGAAAAAAATCAGTCTCTTGGTTCCCAGGGCCTACAAAAACTCCAGAAAATGTAAGCAAGAAAGATGGCCATCTCTTTTTAATTCAGAAGAGGGACACAAAATCGGCAGTAATTAGAGCTTCAAGATACTTGCAGAAAAATAAAACTGATAAGGTTTTCTTTACAGAGCACAGAAAGCCTTTTCCAAGAAGCTTTGAAGGGCTCAGGTTTCCTGGGAAATTCCACTTTGGTGCAATTAAGTCTATTTTAAGGAAGCATCTCAGTGCAACAGCTCATCCAAGTATTTTAAGGAGTTAATAGCCACAGAAATTCACACATGAAATTTATACCATTAGAAAATGGCTACTTAATCCTGCTTCAAAAGCAAGGATGGAAACTGATTTCTTAAGCCTGAGCATCTGGAAAGCCTGTTTTATTAGGTTTATAAGGAGTGCTTGAGAGATTTACCAAACACACAGGGACACAGTGCTGTTTCCATGGTCACACACGCTGGAATTTAAAGGACTTGGAAAGGCAGTCTCCATTTATTATGAACTAATACTTTTGCAAGTGTAATTAACTCCCTGGCCTGCTCTCACCATATGCCGTTCTAAGCCTCACGTTCCCTTCTCTTTTCTAGAAGCAGCCATGTCACACACCTCCCTCTGTGCAGCCTACACAAGTTGAAAACAATAAATCAAAACAAACAAGGCTCTTTGAACCCAGGTAGAGGAGGACTCCTGTAATCATATCAGAGACCAAATTACTGCTTTTTCCTTCTCTCTCAGCACAGCAACTCCAGAGAGCAGCTGCAAGCACAAGGACAGCCCCATTTACAAGAAAATGAGGGTGTCTGGCAGAGCTTGACTCCCTCAAAACTATTAAGTTTTGACTGTGCCCTGACTAATCAAGCCCACTAATTCTTCCTGGATAAATAAATGTGTGTTTACAAGGCTGTACACAGAACAGAAAGCACAGGATCCTACTGGATTATTTCAGAGACAACAAAAATGGGAGATTCTCAGGCTAGCATCTCCAAAATACCAGGTGGACAAGCCTAGAACTGGCTTCTTGTTTCCAAAGGCTGAGCTGTCAGATTAAAATACATCAAATATTTTTTCAAACACTTCTCCCAAGGGAAGGCTTCTAGTTACCACTGAGATATTTTGCAGCTGCAAAGAAGGAGCTGAGCAAAAGGAGATTAGATCCACAACAAATGAAAGCACCAGTGGAAACCCTAGAGCAAGAGATGGGCAGCTTCAGACCTGCAGCTTCCAAACAGATCTAAGGAAGACCCTCTCCAAGATGGCTACAGCCTCTGAGCACCTGCCATTAGTGGCGAGAAGCTGCAAACCACTGCCAGGCTGTAGTCTGAAAGCCAAAGAACACGGTCAAGAGATGAAGAAAAGCTCATGGTGGTTCACCAGAGAAACAACCTGTACAGTGCTCTAACCTCACATAAAGTAGAACCTTGGGCCTTGCTAAAACTACCTTTGCATTTAGCAGGGTGCAGCACTGCAAGAAATTGTTCCTGTTGTGGGAGAAGTTGTAAATCAAATTCCCTCATGAATTGTCCAAGTCTTCAAGAGCTTAACATCATGCAATGATACCCTCACTGAGCATAAAGCAAATTTCCTGCTCTTCTCCACAGGCACCTCTTTCTATACAACTTGCTGGACGTTTTCACCTTTAATACCTTGGCTGACAGTTTCCAGCAGGTCCAAAAGCTGTTTGAGGCTATTTTCACAAACAAAAGCCTTTTCATCCAAGTTTAGACCTGGTTATTCTAAATTGCTGTTCTGTTTCCAGTTGTTCTGTCACAGTTTTATTTCAAGATGAAAGTGGTTACCATTTCAAACGGACTATCAGGTGTTAATCAAGGTAGGTCAGGACACTGGCCAGAGTGAAACAGGCTTTAATTCTGCTCCCACTGCAAAGATCAGCAGTCTCCTATTTATAGAAAACATGGAAGTGACTGCAACCCTCTTCTTGCCAGAGAAGCAATTCAGAGACATTGTTTACCCCAAACGGTTGCAATGATAAAAGGACAACAGCCCTAATAGCTACACCAGTGCTACACAATTACTTCTGGCTAATCCCAGCACT